CTTGTCTTGGCATTCTATGTAGTACAGCTGCGCTTTGTACTGTATCTGTCACATGATGCTACATGATGCTAACTGGTGCACATAAACTTCCCTACTTGTTAGCTACATTAGCATTAGCCTTGTTGACACCAAATGCTATGCAATCATTTCACATGGTTTTCCAGGTGGTTACTAATTTATAGGCCTTAAATTGTGGACGATCGTGAAGTTTCAGAGGTGAACCGCTTAAAATCCCAGGCTAATTACATACTAAACTTACTATTCAGTAACTACAGGGACTTCAGTGCAAACTGGTTGAGCTATTCTTAGATTAGAAGTTTGTAATAAAACTTTGGGCCGGCCGGTGCGTCCTGGTGTGAGGTTACTTCAATTGCGCATAGCTTGTATAATCTCCGTAGAAAAGCACTGACCAATAGAATGTGACCCTCTGGAGCAGCTGCATGTGATCCTAAGGTCTCCATGTCCAATGCCAAGCGTGGGCTAGAGGGGTATAAAGCCCCCCAGCATTGGGCTGTGGAGCAGTGGAACTGTGTTCTCTGGAGTGATGGAACTCCATCCAGTACCTTTGGGATGAGTTGGAGATCCAGAACTGACCATCCAACATCAGTACCTGACCTCACTAATGCTTTTCTAGATGTGAATGTGGACTATAAAACTTACCAAAAGTTGTATTTAAGGTTTGATCCTATCACTCAAACAGCAGGAAGTGCAGAAAAATCTGGAAAAAAACAAAGGTGTGTAAATTATGTGGATTTCTTTTTTTTTTTTCTTTCTCAGTTATGAAAAACATAGTTTTCCACGGTTAGGATAAGCATGATAAAACTCATCTGTGTGTACTTTGGGCCAGGATTATGCAGGTTAAGCAAGTTCCACTTGCTAATTGATTTTTTCTAATGTTTTAGGTTTAATATAAGCACTAAATACTCTTTTAGTATGAGTACTTTTAAATAGTCATGTTCATTTGAAATGGACAAGACAGGCATGAAACAAAGACAGTCCATATGCAGTGTCTGTGTACAAACCCCAAGTGACTTTATACTAGCAAATACATGACATTAGGTAATTTATTATTATTTTACATATTAAATTGTGCAATTATTGATTTAATGTAATTGATGTAGCTATTCAATTATTACATTAAATGCATGTCAGTTTTTTTAGATATATTTTAAAATGAGGCTACTGTTGAAGTTTGACTGCATGAAGGGAAACTTTCATGGAATTTTTTTAGGAAGGTGTCCAACTTAGTGAGAAAGTTTTTCTATCACTTTAACTTAAGTTAATAATTACAGTTTACTGGCATTTGTGAAGAACAGCTGTCAGTGCTCAGTCTTTTAGAACAGAACTGAGTGACAGAGGTTGCCATGACCTTTAAAATTAATCCAGAAATGTCTGAACAAAATATACTGAAATAATACAAAAGCTTTGGTTCATAAGTGTGAAAATACAACATATATTTAATATATTTCTGGTTAAGTATTTATTTTTAATCAAGCGGTTGTTTTCAATTCCCACCAGTTTTGATACTGACGGTGCAGCATGTGGGTCAAAAAGCAGAACCTTCTTACATTAATCTGCTGTCCTGCTTCGATCGTAGATTATTAAAAGGGTGTAATTGATTGTTTTTGTGGAATTTTTTGCTTTTCCAACCAGTTTCTGTACATATACAGTCGAACATATTGAGCTTAAAGCCTTTAAACATTAAGCACAATGTTGATGTATTAGATTTTCTCTGTTCAGCTTTTGGTAAAAGGTGCGGATAAACCATGTAGCTGAATAATCATTGATTTCACACGTTTAATGTGATACAACCAACAACACAATGATCAGTGTATGAACTGCATATATGAATATACATTAACATGCACAGTCAGCACATGCCTGATTATAAGCAATGTAAAATGTGTTAGACGAGTTCATTTAAATATCATAAAATCATTTAAATAACATGTTAATGTGGAATATTGGCAAAATGCAGGCATTTCCTTAAGCAAGTATGCGGTGTCTTTTACACACAGAACACTTTAAAGCAATTTTTAAGTTTTCCTCCTCAGCCCAAATGTAGATAATCAGTCAAAGCATGTTTATACTAAAAATGGAGAAAAGATGCTGCTGTGTTTAGGCTGTACTTTAGCCCAAGTTTATAGATAATAGTGAGTCAAACAGAGTCATAAACCACATAATCAAGACTTCTAGAGATACTGAGGAGTTTGTAGACAGCGTATGATGATCTAGCCATGTTAGCACCATGCTAATTACTTAGCCTCAGTGTTAAAAATAAGCATGTCTTGGCTGATTCACTACACTTGGTCAAATATAATATTTAGATGAACCATAACTTTAACAAATGTTTGATTTTTTAATAGATAATCAGATTGTGTCAGTAATCCGACCAACGTGTTATACGCACTTGAGTAATCAGGGGATATAACGGGAAAACTCTGGGTCTAAATAAGTCAGACACTAATCAGATTTCTGCTTTACAACCAGCCAATAAACTCACAGAAGAAGAGGCGACATAAACGTAACGTAAAACTCAAACTTAATACCGTGGCTTTTCTTAAACATCACGCCGCTTTACCTGAAAATATGAACAAACATCATCTAGAAGATGAAGAATATTTAAATCCCTTATTTTGTTGAGAATGTAGTCAGTTTCAGCACCACACCAAAAGTGTTCTGCTGTGTCTCATGGTGACACTGCTCGCTTATTTCCAGCACCACTGTCTGTTCTGCACATGCTCAGACTGAGAAATCCGAAAGAAATCAGAGTAAGAGTTTACAGCACTGAGAAATCTGATTACTGAGCTAAAATCCAGCCTCTTTATCAGATTTCTCAATCAGATTTCTAGATAAGAGTATGGTGTTTACATGACCATTTGAATAATTGGATAACCGCAGAAATCCAATTATGATCGGATTATTGAGTGCATGTAAGTGCACTCAGTGTCTCCTTAATAATTTGTATTACTGGAGATGGTAGCAGCTTCAGATGGAGACTGTGCTGGTTCTTTCCTGTGGAGAGCTGCTCTTTACAATGGCAGAAAGACTCTTTGCTGAATAAAATGACTTAAAACAAGTCAAACAATCTTTAGAAACATAAGTTGAATCATCATATAATCTTCATCATAATGAGAACTGGATATTTAGACTAAATTTAAGATGATTTCACTTGCAAAAAATGACATGAAAATCCTTTAGAGATGGATTTTTTTCTATGCCATTGCTTCATAGAAGCCTTTTTAGGATGTTTATTTTTAAGAGCTATACGATTGGTCATTTTTACATTGAATATTTAAATTTGAGAGTTTTTAAACTGCAAGAGCTGCAATTTTAATGTCAGCCTATTTTATTAACAGTGGGAATATTATAACCTAATCTCACATAATTTCAGTTCCATGAATCACACCCATTTTTATTATTTAATTAAGCATGTAACTGCATGTAATTCTGTTAATAATTAACAGAGGACGTTTGTGGAGAGGCCATGCAGGGACACTGCCGAATCCATACTCTGTAAAAAAACACACAAAAGAACACAAAAGTGGATAAAAGAGGATAAATTTGTGAAATTTGGATTTACAGAATTTTGTAATTTTCTAAATGAAAGTAGTTCAACTGCTTCTTAACACATTCAGT